GCAACCCCGAAGGAGGCAGCGCAGCCGCATCCTCACTTCCCGAGGAATCAAGCCCGCCTTGTGATGCCGCGATCGACATCGCATCCTCCTCTGGAGCGCCGAACGAAACAGACGGCACTTACGAAGAAGCGCTTGTGTGCATCATTACGGCACTCTCGGGTTGCGACACGGCTGAGGGGGGTGTGGCCCGAGGAGCAAGCGTCGGGTTTTTGTTCCACACCGTCACCGTCAGATCACCCTGTCTGCGAGCCGAAGAGTTCCCTCTGGAAGAGGAAGCAGATCGGTTAACAGACGCGGGGACTCTCACAGTAAGATCATTGAGTCTCGATCTCAGTGTCGCGATGGTCATGTTCCCACAGAAGGAACATGAGTCATCCACGAGCGCTGCTTTAGCATGTTCAAAGCCTAGACACACAAAGCAGCGCTCATGCCCATCAGAAGAGGAGAGAAATCGACCGCACCCAGAAGAACACGGGCGAAGCATCTTTAAAAAGACGTGCCGCGTGCAGCTCTTTCAGTAGAGAGGAAATTCACTCTGCAGCGCTGAGGCGACCAGGGAGAAGCACAAAGTCTGGCAGACCACTGCACAGATCGCAGGCAATGTAGAATCTCGCTGGGTACCGCCGTCACACCAACACTGGAGAGGATGCTCGTCTCGAAAAGATAACTCAGTATGAGTGGCTTGTGGAGTGAAGAGGTTCTTTTGGCTCCGAAGCGAAAACATACTGCGGTTGCGTCCGCATCCTCCTTTTATACCCACGAGGTGGGGCGGAGATACGCTATGCAAATTCCGCAGACCGCATTGGCTCGTTTTTTAATACTCGAAGAGGATTGGCTTTCTGCGAAACCCCCATTTTCCATCATCCGACGTAACTCGGAGTGACTACGAAAGGGAACCACTGATTCTTTACATGCTCGTCCCTGGTAAATGAAAAAAAATTAGCTGAACTATCTTTGCATTGTAGAACACAGCGTCTTCCCGACATGATGCTATGATGAAGTATTTGAATGTGTAGACTTCAAGTTTACACTTCCGTCTGCGCGCGCAGTAACGTACGTCACGATGTAACAGCTAATGACTCGTTTAAAAAACAATTCATTTCATAGACTCAGAGTCGACTCTCACTTTTGAAAGACAATAACTTTATATACAGTGCACTTTCAGATATAAATCTTTGCAGGATGTTTTCATTCCCTTAGAGCTTTATTCCACACCATATGAACAGTCATTTTAAAAAATCCATGATAGGGGCTCTTTAATACAGCGTGTATAGCATCCTGGTACCTAATCACATTGCCAAAGGCAGTGTACTCAGCAACAAAACAATACCCTTAAATCAGGGGAGTACAACATAGGCCACTCTGCCTAGTGGAGGCCCCGTATTGAGGGGCCTACCATCTATATGCATGGGCGTCAGCTCATGGTAATGCTCTGGGTACAAGGAAGCGTAATTCAAAAACCAGAATAAAATGAAGTTTTATTCATTTATCCACTCGCTGCCGGACTAAGTTTTCCTTTTTTTTTTTGAAAAACTTTCATCATCCATCTGCAGCTTACCCCTTGTCAGCCACCGCATCGTCTGAGAGGATTATACCCCTCTCAATCAACAATCGGTGGGCCTCATCAATGGGAACCCTACATCCAGACACTGAACTCTCCTCTCTCGAGAAGAGGGGACAGGCGAGAGCGGAACCTTCTCAAAGAAAAATGCTCACAATTATCATGCAGGTTTAAAATGACACAAGGATGAGTATACTCAAAATATGATTTTTTTTTTTTAAATAAAGTAATACTTTAAATAAGAAACTAAAACTGCCAGTTGGTGATGGTAAATATCTAAACGAGCAAGTCACTGAGTTCATTCATTCGATTCATTTAAATCGCTGATTCATTTAGGAATTAAGTAAATGGCTCTCTTTATGAATGGGCCATTGAATCATTGGTTCACCCAATTGATTCAGTTAAAATGCGGATTCATTCAGAAACTAAACACTGCTGTGTAGCTCAGAGATGCACTACAGTTCTTGCCCTGATATCTTGACTTTTAGGGGCTTTCTAACTAACTGCGTTCTAGGCTCCATCACACAGTGAATTGTTACTCTGCATCATGTTTCGTCACTATAAAACTGTATAAAATGTAAGATGACCTACGTAGGTCGGGGCTGGTGCGTTAAATGAGACTGCATAAATTCAGTCACAGTTGCATTTTTGAGACTGTCTTTGGTTCACTGCAATTTTAAAGAGAAAATACTCAGCAATTGTGTTGACTGTACGTGGTTTGTCTTAATCAGCACTATGTAATTTTTTCAACCTTTATAATATTTTTGCAAAACCCTTGAGATGATATAGCCTGCCTGACAGTGTCTGTATCGATTTTACTGGCACTATGTAACTTTGGGGGTGCGGGTAGATACCCGAGCACTGCCAAATTCGTCTGCTTTACGGCATACATCACTCCCCCCACTTCCTCAAATTCCGACGCGAGAGCCCAATGAGCGTTTTTTTTTTTTTTTTTTTTTTTTTTACCTCTCTGTATGTTGTCATGGCTCCAGTCCGGTGCATCAATCTTCCCCGCCTAGCAAATGTGAAGTGCGTCAGAAACAGAGCGTGTATGGCAAGCCATTTTAGCTTTTAATAATTTCCAGGATATGAATTCTTGATATCAACATTTACATTTTTGATATCAGATATTTAATAGTTGATATCAAGAATTGAATTGTTGATATCAACAATTCAATTCTTGATATCAAAAATGTAATTGTTGATATCAACAACTGAATTGCTGATATCTGTAATTGTATTTTCACTAGTGAAATGTCACCATAGGCTGCCATTCAAAATTAATTATTGATATCAATAATTACATTGTTACTAGTAACAATGTGAATTCCTGATATCAATAATTAAATTGTCACTAGTTGAAATGTCAATTCTTGATATCAACAATTCAATTGTTACTAGTAAAAATGATCATTTGTGATATCTGAAAATGTATTTCTGATATCAATATTATTTCAGATATCTAAAATGGCTTTCTTACTAGTAACAATTACATTCATGATATCAGAAATTAAAATTGCCACTAGTAAAAATTGAATTATTGATATCAAAAATGAACATTGTTACTAGTAGCAATTCAATTGTTGATATCAAGAATAACATTTCAACTAGTAACAATTTAATTCTTGATATGAATAATAAAGGTTTTTACTAGTAATAATTGTATTTCTGATATGTGAAATTGGAATTTCAACTAGTAAGAAATCAATTCTTGATATCAACAATTGGTTTTGAATGGCAGCCTATGGGGACATTTCACCAGTGAAAATATAATTGTTGATATCAAGAATTACATTTTTGATATCAAAAATGTAATTCTTGATATCAAAAATGTAATTCTTGATATCAATAATTTAATTGTTGATATCAACAATTAAATTCTTGATATCAAAAAAATTAATTCTTGACATCAAGAATGTAATTGTTGATATCAAGAATTCATATCCTGGAGATGAATAAAAGCTAAAACTGCTTGCCATAGAGCGTGCGCGATCAGTTTATTGTTGGTAATGTGTTAGCTTTGCTTTGCCCCTTGCCGCATCCAGTTTAGACTGCATTGCTTTCTTTTGAGGGCGCTTAACACACTCAAGCATCCCCATAGAGGCGGGGCGGGCAGCTCACGCCAGCTCGAGACGTGAAAGTATACTGATTACTGAGTTTGATGAGGGCTACATTCTTGCAAGTAAATAATACATGATTAGACGGTCAAAGTAATCAGTCAGGATAACTATCCTATGTCTGCAGGCTGATAGTCATGTTTGTTATTTATTTGTAGATTCATCTATGGTAGCTTGATATTATTATATTGATGATATGGCTATTATCTACCACACAAACATTGAATTGAATTAGCATTTCCATTATGTAAAACAGTATTCAATTGGCTAACGTTACTATAAAGACGCTGGCTTGTAAATGTGAGCTACGCGATCTTTTGACGTTTGAAAAAAATAAAGCCCATGAAACTATATTCATCTGACATGCTGAAATATATTCCAATGTACAGTACCTGGGAGACATTTCACACGCAACATTGGCAGTCTGCCCAAGATGCAAGAACTCCTTCCTTTTGTAGTGTTCGGGGTATTGCTTTTCAACAAATACACGAGTGTATTCCCTGGTGTAACCATGACAGATTTTATTACTGTAGTAGAAGACAATACGGTGTCCCAAATGTAGAGGGATCCCAAGACTGCCGAGAGCAAAATTTCAAAAGTAACGTAATGCTGCTTTAAAGCACATTAAAAACACCACATAGACAGCCCTAATAATAATATATCAGTAACACTTTACAATAAGGTTCATTAGTTAACATTAGTAAATGCATTAACTAACATGAACTAACGATGAGCAATGCATTAGTTACAGTGTTTATTAATCTTTGTTAATGTTAGTTAATACATATACAGCTGTTCATTGTGCGTTCATGTTATTTCACAGTAGCTAATGTTAGCACATTAACTAATGTTAACTAATACAACCTTTGATTTTAATAACGTATTAGTAAATGTTGGAATTAATATTAACTAAGATTAATAAATGCTGAAAAAGTATTGTTCATTCTTAGTACATGTTAACTAATGTAGTTAACTAATGAACCTTATTGTAAAGTGTTATCAATATATCTTATGGTCTAATGGGATCGATATTCTATTTTATCATAAAACGCAAATATAATTGAAGACGTCTCAATATGGATTGTGCACTACCATTAATTTGAAATGTCTGAAACAATCCAACTGCAACACCATTAGATAGCCAATGTGTCTTTACTTTAACTGCAGAATCTGGATTATTTTCACTTTAGTATGTAAACCAGGGCTAGTATTTTGATATTGTGGATATTTGGCTATTGTAGTTGAGCTGGGTTTCCAGGCTCACAGCCAGTAGGTAGTGGTGGCTTGGTTTGGCTGTAATTTGTTGCACTTTTCCTACGTAGGGTGAGCCAGGACTTCCAGGGCTGCCTGGACTCCCCGGAATTAAGGTAAATGTTGTGTCTTCATGCCAAGGGTTAGGCATCCATATCCAGTAGCTTGTCAACCAATGAATGTCACAGTAACAGTTGTTGAAGTGCAACTGTATTGTTTCCATATATCCTTCATATTAACCTGTATGGCTTCGAATAGTTATTGCTTTTGAATGAAGTGTGTTTTACATTGGCTTATTCAAATGCACATTATCAGGATTCATTGATTATGAATTTATCCATTGATGATTCATATCAGACAATTACTTGACCCTGTTTATCTTTGCATTTCATGTAAAGACTCGACTCGGAGTAAGATTTAACACTACAGAAATTTGATGTCTAACTTATTTCATTGCTATTTTTATGCTTTAGCCTTTATTTTCACACAAAAAACACATTGGTGTCACTCACTTTTATATTATTATTAGTATTATATTTCAAATAGTCTCCACAACAATCAAACAAACCCCCCTGAGAGTGTGTCGAATCATACACACTTTACCAGATTCACTTAAAGTCATTCAACCACTTGGGGTTTTGTAATGGAACTTTCTTTTTGTTTCTTCTGAACTGAAAATTAAAAGCTGACTGCAGATGTTCATGTTATTGTTTCAAAATATTTTTGAAAATGAGAAAATGAATGAGAAATCACTGGAGCAATGGATTTCTCCATAGTTCCATAGATTGTAATGCAAAGAATGCTCAAATTGGCATGAGCTAATGGTTGTTGCTGTTTTGGTTTGTTTGCCTGTATTCTTTTGTATGCCTGCAGCCTATTGGCCTTGTAAAAATCCCACACATTTTATGTAACCCTGGCTTTGCTTAGAGGCTGAAAGCTGTGGATGTTAACATTATGCTAAATTTGGTGCTCTAATATTTTTTTGAGACACTTGCATGTGCTCACTGTGTTCATTCATTGAATAAGAGAGGTTAGAATGTTTGATTAAATGACACTTCAAATATCACGTTAAGGTGTTTATTATTATATTAGCAATATTCATTTTCTCGTGTAATAACATGAACTAACACATCATTTATTTTAAATAAGAATTATATGTTAGTTGCCATAATAGCAATATCATTAAGGTGAGCAAATATTTTATGATGAAAGCCATTTGCAGGTTTTAATTAAAATCTAGACAATTATCAACTCAAATTAGTCAAAAAAATAGACAACTGGCTTGATACTGTATGGCATGAATGCTTTGGAAGATTGTTTGTCTAAAATGCTTCACTTCTTTGATTTAGAGTTTAAGTTGATTTCGTTGTGAATACTTGAGTCCTATGACTGAAAGATAATTCCATGTGTGGCTTCTGTATGCAGGGTGAACCTGGATTCTTTGGGCCTCAAGGTGAGCCTGGGCTTCCAGGTCTGCCAGGAACTAAGGTGGGTGGGTTTGTAACACCACCAGTTGTGGTATATCTCAGTTTAATGTGGTGGTCGTGGTTTGTGGTTTCATTAAGATATACATGATAGCTCTGTTAAGGACTATAAATTAACAAACAACAAATGACTACAAAAGTTTGTTCAATCTGTATGTGATCACTACTCTGCAAACTCTTATTGAGAGAATACTTTTATTTAAACTATTATTACCTGATTTTTCTGATTAATTAGATGATTAAGCCAATGTACATATTAAGTTAGGATTTGATTAAAAGTGTGGTTTATGTAAAAGGCAGTGCAGAGAGGCATCTATGAAGAGACTTTAGTCAGTGCCTGTCAAGATACAGTACAGCATGTGCTGTCATACTGCCCTCTACAGGACATTTAAAAGAAATCAGTATAAATTAAGGAAAGAGTAAAGAGTAAAGTCTATTTTAGTAGTTCTCAACCTCTTTGACTCCATTGCCCTGCTTTGTCCAAGCCAATATTCGAAGCTGACATGAACTTCTGGTATTAACTTCTGGTTAAATAAGAATAAACAAACTCAAAAATTAGGTTACTATTGTACATCTTTAACATTTTTAGGTGTTATTTAAGATTGTTAATATAGCAAAAAATGTAAATAATGTTAAGACTTACTGGAGACCCCATGGAAGTTTGCAGAGGCCCCTGGTGTGCAAGTGTGCAACATGTGCAAATTCTTCTTTTCTGTAAAATTATACTACTGTATCTACCTATAATTTTACACTTTGTAAGTTTAGCTGGTCATCTCTGAAAACCAGCAGAGCAGCTTATTCAGACAGAAATTAGAGAGATTAGTTTGAGCATCTTAGGCTTTTTTATGATAGGCTGTGATCCTGAATATCACTTTTTGTAGGGAGAGAGAGGAGAACCTGGTCCTTCTGGCAAGGGTGAACGTGGTGAGACAGGTCCTATAGGGCACAAGGTAAGAGTAAATATGTGCTTTTGAAGTGGTCATCTAATTTGGAAAAGACATTAATGTAAAATAAATTCCCCTGTAATTCCCCTGTATGGGCACATTGTCAAACATAACCACAGAGGTTCCTCCGACTATAATTGTGCGTTTACTTTGGTCAAAATATTAATTCTAGATTGCCTTAGATATGTGAAAATATTATCCTGCCAAGTTTACTCAGGAAACTGTTTATTTTGATTGAGATTTGACAGGGGTTAATTTCGGTCTGTGATCTTTCCACAAACAATAATACAGGAACTAACTGAGTTTTTGCTGTAGGTCGTGTGTGTGTGTCAGTAAAAATAAGGCAAGACACGTTAAACATAAGGAATCCCCACTACATATCAGATAAATGCCATTAATTTACAGGAAGTCTGCAGTTCCAGAGCTCAAATATTGGTACCTTAAAAAAAAAACATCCTCGGGTAACGACTGTAACCCTTGTTCCCTGAGAAAGGGAACGAGAACTGCATCGAATGACACTTTGGGGGGACGCCCCTCAGCGTAGCATGTGACGGCATACAAGCGGAAACTATAAAGGGACACCGGCACATATGAGATGTCAGCTTCTGTGATGAAGCAATGTATGTATGTTGCCATGATGGACAGAGGCCACTGGGCAAATTTGGCCAGGATGCTGGGGTTACACCCCTACTCTTTCAAAAGACATCTCCCACGGAGGGCTGTCTAGGAGCAATATAATGTCTGAGAACCATACTCGGGCTGGCCACAACAGGGCTACCAGTAGTAGACTGATCCCGTCACGACGGACCCTCTCTAGAGACCCTCTCGACAGGATTTCTGCTCCCTGGTTTTGACTCCCCGGGATGTATGTTGCTCTTAGAGACAACAATTTCCTCTGGGACCACAGGAGGATCTGATGCGCCAGTCTGCATAGAGGCCAAGACCTCAGACCCCCCGATGGTTGATATAGGCTACTACGGGCATATTGTCTGACCTCACAAGGACATCAGAGCCCGGAACACCGCCAACATCTCCAGGCATTTTACGTGCCTGGAGGAATGATGGTCCTGCCATAGGCCTGTCATAAAGCGGCCATCCATGACCACTCCCCTGCCCATGAGGGAGGCGTCTGTCAAAGCGGTTTTCTGGTATCATGACGCTCCCAACACTGGACCTTGGGACAGAAACTAAGCTTTCTTTCATATAGATCGGGAACGAAGGCATCTGTGCGTAAACCTGATCATGTGGAACGGTTCCCCCTCGGGAAGAACCCCTTGGTTTCAACCACCACTGAAGGGCCCTCATGTACAGCAGGCCGAATGGAATAATGTTGAACGCTGCTACCATAAGCCCTAACACTCTCTGAAAATGTTCCACAGTGATGGCTTGGCCTAGCTTTATCCTGTGGCCAATATGGACTCAACTTGTGCAGGAGACAATCGTACCTGCATTGTGACCGAGTTCCACACCACTCCCAGAAATGGAGTTCTCTGGGCTGGTGTCAGCACTCTCTTTTTTGTTGAGTCTCAACCCCAGGCTTTGGATATTGGCGAGAATGACATCTCATTGCCGAACCGCCAGCTCCTGTGACTGGGCCAGGATCAGCCAATCGTCTATATAGTTGATTACCCTGATGCCCTGGAGCATCCATACATTTGGTAAATGTGCGAAGGGAGAGAGCTAGGCCGGATGGAAGAACCCGATATTGGTACGCTTCGCCCCCGAAAGCGAACCCCAGGAACTTCCTGTGAGATGGACGGATTGATATGTGGAAGTATGTCTCCTTTAGATCTATGATGACAAACCAATTATCCGAGGATTGAATTTGACTCACGATGATGGGAATACTGAGCATCTTGAACCTGAATCTCCTCAGAGAACGATTCAAGTGTCTGAGATCTATTATCGGACGCAACCCCCCATCTTTTTTGGGAAATGGAAGCGTCAGCGTAAGTTCTACCAGGAAGACTCTTTTTCAACGTCACTAATTGGTAATTCCAAGTTACCAATCACGGCTCTACATCAAATATAAAAGGCTGACCTTACCTTCCCCTTTCGTTGCGTAGGTGTCGCAGAAAAGTTTTCCGTTCGCAGATGCCGACGCGACAACAATTAGATGCTGTCGCATTTATTCATGCACTCGTTCAATCGCCAGGCAACATGTTTCAGGATATTTTGCTTACAATTTGCGAGATCCGACGATGTCCCGCCCTATTTCCTACCGCACGCCGAGGTTCCTGCGCTCAGTCTTCGCATCTTCCCGTAGACACAGCGGTCCTCGGAGAGTTTTGACCAGCTAAGGCCGAGAAGTTCAAGCTGTCTTTAGGCTAGAGCACTCCAGAACCGCGCCGTCTGCACAGGTGCTATTATCTCGCAAATCACAGACCCACCGACATGAATCAACAACTCTGCAAATCACGAGACGAGCTCTCACTGGTTCAAGTTCAAACTCCCCTCCAAGGCTTTGATTCGTTTTGGTAGGCACTGCACCTCCACCAGCACTGTTAATGTGTCCTCTACATGATTAAACTTCATTCAGGTAAGTAATTCTCCATGGCTTCCTACACGTCCGAGTTGAAATCATGGTTAAAAATTGGCGTCCACGATGTCGATGACGTGGCGCTATCTGATCACTACAGCTGATCTGCACACTGCAGACGGGCCGGATAGCTCGCCTTAATGCTCGTACCAAGTGTAAGGAAAGTTTGCGTTTCCGTCAGTCTGATATTCCACATTTCAGTCGTGATCTAATAATATCAACGTTGGCAATGCCACGCTCTCATTCGCAGTTTACAAATACCTACTAACATCCGTGTAACTGATTTAAAAATCAACTGCCCGAGTTCTAAGAGCTCTATTATGCATTATCACGGGTCGCGCTCGTTATCACGTCTGCTCACTTACCAGAGTTCGGTTACGTGTGCGTTTAATTAAAATAAATAAATAAACCTGAGCGAAAGAGAGCAAGTTTATCATTTGGCCGTTATGCTATTCTGCAGTGATCATATCTACAATGGCAGAAAGTTATTAATTGTGTAAGAATAATTCACAAACAACTATTTTCACCATATTAGGCTATACCTAAATTCATATTAAGTCATTGTAAGAAAAAATGATGTGGACTTCGAAGATCTCAAAAATGAAGTTTATTACAGCATAGCAGTGGCAAGGCACACAAAGCACCTTGGGTTCACCAGCGTCAGAATGAACCCCGAGCTCATCCCAGCGCAAACATTTTATACAGTATTACATCTGTCTTCCCTCTCAGCATGTAAATGAAGCTTTCTCTTAAATGTAAATCAAGACAAACATATTCGTCTTCTCTATCAGCGTGGAGCTGAAACTCTGTCTTTAAATGTAAATTGAAGAGAACGAGGCAAGTGGTGCCTCCGTGTCTATGTCTTTGTTATTCCAAACTCTGTCTTTAAATGTAAATCGAAGAGAACGATACAAGTGTTAGACTGATACGGTCAAATGTTTAAAGGTGATAATATCTCTCAGAAACTCCCTAATCAAGATGGTTCTTGAATACCCACTGTCTTTCCCACTCTATAGGTGATAACCATGACTCTGTGATTTTGTTTAAGATTGTAAGGAATTGATTCTATGATAAATAAGCTCTTTCAAGTGAAGGAACATTTCAATATAATCTATATTGGAGTGGAAGTTTGATCGGAGCAGACTGTAATTTCTTAATAATTGTGAAATAATTCTGTGACCACACTGCTTCGGGTCTATTCAATTACTTTAGAATTTCCTCAGAATTATAACAACTTCACCAACAGTTTCAAATATGTTAGAAACATAGAAACAACAAATCTAATATAATTCTGCCACCACACTACTTCGGGTTTATTCACTTACTTTAGAATCTTAACAGAATTATAAGAGGCCAACACCAAGTTTCAGTTACTTTAGAAACTTTACACTTAAGCACTTTGTTTCAATTACTTTAGAAACAACAATTCAAATACAACTTTGTCACCACACTACTTCGGGCTGATTCAGTTCCGTTAGAATCTTAAACAAAATCGTACAGAATAGGCTTAACAACTCCTCCTGCTAAGACTGAATAAACCAAATTCTCTTCTGTCCTTAAATTTTCCTTTTCTAGATTTTTTTAAACAAGGGGTTTCCTGACAAAACAGCACTTAAATGAAAGAAAACGGCTTTTTCTTACCTTTTTCCCCGCTTTTTGTTGGAAACCTCCTGGAAGGGTGGCTCGCCAGTGTAAGAAAAAATGATGTGGACTTCGAAGATCTCAAAAATGAAGTTTATTACAGCATAGCAGTGGCAAGGCACACAAAGCACCTTGGGTTCACCAGCGTCAGAATGAACCCCGAGCTCATCCCAGCGCAAACATTTTATACAGTATTACATCTGTCTTCGCTCTCAGCATGTAAATGAAGCTTTCTCTTAAATGTAAATCAAGACAAACATATTCGTCTTCTCTATCAGCGTGGAGCTGAAACTCTGTCTTTAAATGTAAATTGAAGAGAACGAGGCAAGTGGTGCCTCCGTGTCTATGTCTTTGTTATTCCAAACTCTGTCTTTAAATGTAAATCGAAGAGAACGATACAAGTGTTAGACTGATACGGTCAAATGTTTAAAGGTGATAATATCTCTCAGAAACTCCCTAATCAAGATGGTTCTTGAATACCCACTGTCTTTCCCACTCTATAGGTGATAACCATGACTCTGTGATTTTGTTTAAGATTGTAAGGAATTGATTCTATGATAAATAAGCTCTTTCAAGTGAAGGAACATTTCAATATAATCTATATTGGAGTGGAAGTTTGATCGGAGCAGACTGTAATTTCTTACATCATTTAATATTTAAATGACTCTACAATATTTGAATCGTGTACAATCGCTGTAATACTCAACCCTTCTGGTGGCTACGTAATCCATTGAAATGCGTGATCGGAATAAGAATTAATGTGAGGGGTTCTTTCACATTAATTTTCAGAGAAATGCAGTCTAAAGGATCAAGGCAGCTGTGTGGC